GCTAGTGAACCCACCAACCCGAAGCTCTGCTAGCACAGCATCGGGGCACTTGATCTCGCGGGCGCGCTGGAGGAAGTGGGCCTCAGACTCAATCAAGGAAGACATGGCACAGGAAGCTACGCTGTCCAATCGAAGAAGAAATCACACTTGAACTCCGCCAAAGTGCAACACAGTAGAAGACGCAGTACAAACACCACACACACTAAGTACCACAAGCAACATGTCCGCTCTCTACTACTGCGAGCCTGGGGTTGAAACATCACATTCACAACGCAACACACACATGCTGCATGCGTGGCCCCTGGGCCCCTATTGCCTATAAAGCCCCTTGGCCAGGCATTGGCACCATGTGCCACAAGGCTCATAAGGGACCATGTCCTTGCCTTGAATCCAACACTCCGACATTTAGTCGGCAACAGCACACACTGCAGTTCACATTTCCTCACATTAGCCCCTGGGCACACAAGTCGCTACCATGTACCAAACTCTTTTCTTCACCACAGCGATCAGAAACGATCACAAACTTCCTCCAGCCACACCACATCACAGGTTGCGTTTACATGTGCGACACTCGGGATTCATAAGATCCTCCTCTGAAGGCAAGACATACATTGCCGTGCGCGGGCGCCCACACACAAGAATGTTGTCGCCATAGGCATGGTGAAGAACTCCAGATCTGGAGTGTTTTACCCATGTACCAGTGCCTTGTACAGGGTTCACACTGGGAACAGACGCCCGGGCGTCAACACGCACAGGGTCGTGCGACGTTTGCGATTCACTCGACCCCGACGACTCACTCGAGCTATCGGAGGAAGATGACTCTTCTTCACCGGAGCTTTCAACCTTGATCGCAGGTGCCAAGGAGGCAGTAATGTTTGCCTGAGTTGACAACACGCTCTTGCCCGGCATTGGCCCGCCCGGGGGAGGCGGCTGAGGAGGGAACGCCCACATTTGCCCCCGGGCTGCATCAGGAGAAAACTCAAGCTGTCTGATGGCATCCAAGACTGTTTCCAGCTCCCGCACGGGTCCCATGCTTAGCTCAACAGAGTACACGGCTTCCGTTCCTTCAACAGCTGTGACATGCCTGCCCAAACAAGAGCGAACCTCCTTCTTGGATCCAGCCTTGCTGGCCCAGGAGATGCATGTTCTCTTCAAGCTGTGCGAGGACACGGCATTATCTCCAAGTGCGAGCCTCAAGTAGGTGGAAACTTCCCCCGACGTAATGGCCCTGCGAGCCAGCACGCCACTTGCTAGTGGTGGACGGAAGAGCGCAGCACCAACATGTCCTTGCAACAGAAGACCAACTTTCTCAAAGGCACACTTGCATGATTCGAACCACTCATGGTCCGAGATTCCTCGCAACGGAATCAAGATTGGGAGCAGCTGAGCAACTCTTCTGGCTGCCCTGGCAGTTTTATGTTGCTTGACCCGGATCACCACGTAGCCATCACGACCTTCTCCATCCACGTCCACGTATGCCACTTTGCGGAAGTCAGATTGTCGAGCACGCGCATACAAGCACAAAAGGCAATATCCAGCAAAGGCCCGATCCCAATCCGAGGTACTTTGTCCATGCAACAGTGAATGAAGGATGCGGACTTGTGCCACGGTGAGTGGGGGAGCTTGCTTGAGGTCCCCAAGGTTAGCCAACATACGCTCAGCCGCACCAACACACTTGCGGCTTCTTAGCTTGTTAGGAATGTTAGTAACATCCATCACGAAATAAGCAAAACGCAAGGCTGACAAGAAGGATGAGGCTTTGGATGGCGGGGCCTGCGAGCCATCCAGGAACTGCATGTACCTCCAGAACATGTCATCAGTAAAGGGGTCGAGGTTGGCACCAACAATTGTATCAAACCACCTCAGGAACGTGAGGATGCTGCCTGCTCTCTTGGAGGCAGTTCCTGCGGCCCTCGACCCAATGCATGCCTCCAATGCCTGTGGATCAACCTCGCACTCCGGGTGCATCTTGCGGTTTCTACGCATGATTACAATCCACTTATCAACTGCAAGCCTCACCGCTTTACGGTGCTGGGCATCAACGTCCACATCAGAGAGGACCTTGAAAACATTAGACGCAAGGTCACCAGACACGAACGGCTCCTGCGGTTCATCCAAGGAAGAGAAAGGATCACACGGAGGCGATTGAGGGGTCCAGACTTCCGTCTCACGCATTGAAAGGGTTGGCATTTTAAGTTCAGAAAACACTGAGGACTCACCAAAGATTGCACTAACAGCAGGCAGCTCCCACGGCAAAACAACATCAGACATGCCCCCATCCGCCAAACGTACAAAGTTGTCGGCGAACACATCACCCACGGTGCGGGCCATTTTTGATGGAGGCTCGTCAACAGTAAGTTTCTCAGTCTCGACTAACTGAGGGTCATCCCCGGAGGCGTCATGCTCTGCGGACTGACTCAACAGATCATCACGCACACATGACCTGCATGAAGTATGCTCAGAGCTGAGCTCAGACATGTCAGGGTTGACTTCAACCAGAAAGTCTTCCATCGCAGCCTCGTACTGTGCCCTGGCCTGTGCTGGCGGCGCTTTGCTGGTTGGTGGTGTAAAGATACCAGGCCTCGTCTCGTTGTCGTCACGACCAGCGTTTGTGGAACCAAAGAGCCACCAACATAGCACCAGGTTAAGCAGTCGGCAGAACACACGGCCCATGGCTGGCTGCAGATCTGCCCGAATCAAAGGGACGGAGGAAACCCCAACCCAGGGGAGGGAGAACGACCCTCAACGACAGCAAGCACAGCTGCAGCCCTTCTACACTTTCCTGCTGGAAGCCTTGGTCATGATTCGTGCGTGTCAAAACACCTGCAAACAAAAAACCCCAGTGCGTTCAGACAACGCCCACTGCAAGACCTAACCCTAGTTGGGGAGAGAGCGGGTAGTGCGAGCCCTCTAGATCCCAAAGACCCTACGGGAGGGGGACTAGGGGCAACAACGTCCTACCCTGCACACGCCATCCTTTTTCACGGGTGCTGCTCTGGGCGAGTTTGGCAATCAGGCCGGGGGGCCCCTCAGGCGAGTGGCACCGGTCCTGATATGCGGCATACCCCCACTTCAGCGGCCCGGGGCAGACCAGTGAAAGTAAGGCCTGGCAACCCCCACCGCGTGTGGTCTGCTAGGCTTGCGCAGGGGACGCTATGTCCAGGAGGCCTTGGCTCCAGGGCACTTCGGCCGAGGCTAGGGTGACCTCGTGGGCCGACTTGTGCAGGTGCGAAAGGTGCACCGCGAATCTGTGAGCGCGGCCAGAGCGTGAAAACTTCTGTAGGCGGTTGCGGCTGAGATCATCCGCATCGGTGTTCGGATATGGCCGATTTCCAATTCTAGGCCGCGCGCGTGGGCCCAGGAGGCCACTTTTTCCAGAAAGAAGCTGAGCGGGAAGGCCGTTGTGAACAGTTTGTTGATGGAGGCTTGAGTAGGGCTGTTGTCGCTGCGTGAGGCGACGCAGAACCTGAGGCTGGAGCAACCGGTGGCTTCGTAGGCCATCTGTAGCAGAACCCACTGTGCCACAGTTTCAAAGCAGGCGATGTATCTTTGGGCGTCTTTAGTGAGGAAAGGCCATGCAGTGCGAAGCTCTTGGATGTCCCATTGCTGGGCAAACCACCAGGTGGTGGAAGATGTGGCGAGCCAGCCACCAATTCCGACTGTGGTTCCATCCGCCATGGCGTCTGCGGCGGATAGGCAAGGCAGCAGGGGCTGTCGGGCCAAGGGCATTGTGAACTCGTAGGCGAAGCATTGGGCGAGCCAATGTATGGCGGCTTTGCTTTCATTGCGCAATGTGATTTCGGAGGCCGAGGGGTCTGCGATGCGGACCCAGATCGTCTTGTCTGCGGCTGGTATGGGCCATATGTCTGTTTTGGCCCGGACAGGCTTCCCCCGGACCTCAATGACTCGGGCTTGCAGCGGGAGTTGGAGGTATGAGGCATCTCGGACGATTTTGCAGGAGGCGTCGTTGCGAGGGACTCGTTTGTGTTGCAGCAAATGCAACAGCTGTGCGCGGAGTTTGTCTAACTTGGGCTGGGCGAGGCAGACGGTTTCGGTTCGGAAGCAGAACTGCCAACCGCACCAAGTGATGCTGGGCCCAAAGGCGGCCTTCTTCCAGCTGATGGGCGCTCCGACGAGCGAAAGGTAGGCCACGACGAGGGCCAGTTGCTGGGGGGCGCGGCTGTGAAGTAGCGAGAGCAGAAGGTCGTCCACGTAGAGCCACGCCTTTCATGCCAAAGATGAAGTCCATGTTCGAATATATGTTGCCGAAACATATTAAAGCAAATTGTTGAAAACAGCAATCTAGATTCAACAGCACGCGGACAGCAATCCCTTGTTTTTCTCTGCCTTCGCAACGCGAAAAGGGGAATGGTACACATCACATCGCGTGGCATGGAGCCACTCCCACATTTCAAACACAAGAGGTGGCATAGAGCCACCAGCCTTCTTTCCCCGGGTGGGAGGGTGGGGAACAAAAATTTTCGCCAGCTTGCTGCGAGCAAGAACCTTGACCCATTCAACATGCAATTCACATGTAAAAATTCATGCAACAAATCTCATGAGAGTGCATGCACGGGTCAGACGAAAATTCCCAGCAGAACAACATGTAGAACATGGACACAAAAATTCTCATCAAAGAATTTTTGAGTTCATCTGGCATAAAACGCTGTCACACAAGTGTGAAAGCTTGCTTATGCCAAAGATGAAGTCCATGTTCGAATATATGTTGCCGAAACATATTAAAGCAAATTGTTGAAAACAGCAATCTAGATTCAACAGCACGCGGACAGCAATCCCTTGTTTTTCTCTGCCTTCGCAACGCGAAAAGGGGAATGGTACACATCACATCGCGTGGCATGGAGCCACTCCCACATTTCAAACACAAGAGGTGGCATAGAGCCACCAGCCTTCTTTCCCCTTTTCACTCCATCCTTTCGAGGATTGTGCCAGTGAGGAAACAACGCGGTGTCTCCTCGACAAAAGGTTTGAAACACGACATATCATGCCAACGGCCTCTGGACGGGGGGGTCAGCTGGATTTGAGTGGCTGGGAACTCGATGGAACCAGGACATGCAAGGCCTCGCTTCATCTGCAACTTCAAAGGCCATAAGAAGTTGCCTCCAGGATGAGTCGGATGACGTCCCGGTCATGCATGCGCCCTGCACGCCTGAATGGTCGATAAAGTAGACAACCCTACGATTTGACAGGTCATTACTCCAAAGCACTCGAGCGAGGACCACGGCATACAGCTCGGTCTGCCCTATGATGTGTTTCCTTCCCTCTGCCCACACCTGCACAACTGAATCTGGCACTCGGCAGCCAAAGACCTTCATCGTCGGGCGGGAGCCCGGAACGATTAGCAAGCCCCCCACACTGCACTCGAACTTATCTCCCTTGGGTTCGCATGCACCATCGGTGAAGACAAGCACGGGCGAAAGATCGCCCGCTGTGGAAATGCTTCGGGGCGGTCCGGAGCGCATGCGGCGCAAGAGAAGAGCAAAGGCTTCAAGATGATGGGGCATTAAGGGCACACTCACAGCATTCGCAGCCTCAAGCTTGCGAAGGTCAGCCAGCGCCAGACGGCCGGATCTTCCCAAGAGCTGTGATTCGGCAAACTGGAGCCTGCCAAAAAGGGCAGGAAGCTCGGCCACCCTCACTCTCCCTTGATGCATGACCATCTCGAGTGACTCAGCTATGGCGCTGGCACGGTCTGGCTTATTTGCTACCCGGACAGCCTGATACCCTTGATCGGAAGTATCAAGGGTGACACCCAGCAGCTCGGTTTGCGTAGAAAAGCTACATTCCTTGTCCACCGAAGTCTCAAAACCCAAAAGAGTGAAGACTGCATGGGCACAGCCATCAGTGGCTTCTGCAAGACACTTAGGCGAAGTGCAAGGGTAGTCGTCGTAGTAGCAGGATGCAAGCACGTCGACCTCAAGGAGGATGCGCCTAAGCAGCAAAGAGACCCGGTTGAACTGCAGAACCGAAGCCGCAGACCCGAAAGGTAGGGTCCGGCATACAAAGGCTCTGGGCTCACGGGTCCCAGGTTCCCGCAGCATGATGACAGCCTTCCTTTGCTCTTCTGGGTGCAGCGGCAGCTGCTTGTAAGCAGACCTCAAGTCGTAGGTCTTCGTGAGGGGCCTGATGTGGTCACCCTGCTCCCACATGGCATGCACTTTCCCACTCAGGCAAGTGCCATCTGAAAGAGTCAAAGAAACATCTCCTCGGGATGAGGCGTAGCGAAAGATCGTTGAGCAGACCCACACAATCTCGTCGAGGGCCCTCAAGGCAACCTTCTCGAAAGCTCCAAATGTCGAGTTGACATTGTTCTCGCTGAGATCGTCGATAGGTCGCCACTTCTTTTGCCATACCGCGAATCTTCTGCAAGGGCACCATTTGTCACCGAAACGCTGCCTGACCTCCTCCAAGGAGAGAGGCCCGTGAAGCCATGCCTTCGAGTTCGGGTCGGCCTCGTCCAGAGTCAGCTCCCACAGGGGTTGCTCGAAGTCAGCGATGGCCTGCTTTCGAATCTTCTCCACCAAGGCAACTATCCATCGTGATGGAGAGGACCTTATTTTGTGTTCATGTGCAGCAAAAATAAATGTTCTTTTATTTTTGCGGTTTGCCCGAATCTTGCCCGATTTACGAGTTCACTACAACAATCCACGAGTACAGACCATGTTCCAAATTTTTAGACTTCATGTCTGAACATGACTCACGTTCTTTGACATTCCATGTGTTTGAAGCAGTGCGTTGCCTGCATGCAAGGTCTGAGTGCGTAAGGTGGTTTCGGAGTTCCCCTTGCCCGATCAGGCAGTGTCTGAACCTGCCCTGCTCTCACTTCCGCCGGGGGCCCGCATCTTGCGTCGCTTGACACTGGGGGGCGACACCAGCCGACGCGAGCTGCGCCCTCGAGTTGCCGAACCGAGCCAGTCCCTCCGTGCGCTGTGTTCTGGGGACCCTGCTGAGCAATATGCCATGGCCTGCCTGCAAAAGCCAGAGATCATGATCTCCGACCTTACCCCTCTTTTTGACATGCTCCACTCCGAACAAGCCGCGCGGGGATCCGGCTCTGACCGCGACTTCTCTTGGACGTCGGGTGCATACGCTCAAGGAGGGCTTGCAGGGGTCCGCAGACACACTAAGGAATTCCCGCTAACCAGCCGGCTTTTGTGCAGATTTGTTTCCGAACGTGCACCAGGACACCTTTTCTCCTGTGTACTCCTTGGTAGAGATTTGCAAGGGCCACCGCATGTTGACAAAAACAACCAAAAGGGTATTCCAAATTGCATCCTCAAACTAAGCGACTTTGAGGGAGGTGGCCTCTGGCTGCAGAATTCGTCTGGTGAGACGATGTGTCCCCATTCAAACTCACCACAGAACTGGGGTAATGTGATCGACTTTCAGAACGGACGAATCATTTTTGACCCACATGCACTCCACTGTGCCATGCCCTGGACGGGTTTGCATCGCGACATCCTTGTGGCGTTCCACCCCAGGAATGTGTCAAAGCTCTCGACTAGCCAGCTCGAGGAGCTAACAGATGTGGGTTTCCCCTTGGCTTCCGCCAGCCACATTGCAGCTGCCGAACGCCTGGACAGCGTGCCCCCTTCCTCACCGGCAGGGCCCGAGGAAGACGCCCCATCTAAGTTAGACCCTGGCCTTTCCCATAGGACAGTAGTAGGCATACCCTGGCAGCCTGACGAGTTCATCCAACGTGCAGCCTGTGCAGTGCACCCACGTCACATGCTGAGTGGCTTGCCAGAACCCTTGCTGTGCACCTTGAATGCTTTGGCTTCGAACACCCCAGAGTGGATTGGGCGCACTCGCACTGAGGAGATGCGCAAGTGGATCAGTCGTGCAAGGGACCTAGAGGGCCAAGAGGCCGAGCTGAAAGAGACGATGAAGCCAAACTGCCGTGCTATCCTCAAGAGCAAACGGCTTCTTGTCTTTGAAGAGATGCTTCAAGCTTCGGGACATGAAGACGTAGCAATCGCCAGGGAAATGCGGTCAGGGTTCCAGCTAGGAGGAGCCATACCTAGGAGCGAAGCTTTCCGAGTGAGACGCCATTCCGCTTCCGTGACAATGGCAGACCTGCACCACCATGCGTCATCTCTGCGTCAGAGTATTCTGGGCTCGACCAAGAGCTCTGGAGACGAAACTCTGGACCGTGAGACCTATGAAGCAACGGTCCAAGAGGTGGCAAGAGGCTGGTTGGAAGGTCCGCTTCCCCTAAGCAGCCTTAGCGAAACTTCCCTGGTCACACGCCGCTTTGGAGTCATGCAGAAGGGGCAAATACGTCCTATCGACAACTACCTGGAGAGTGGAGTCAACAGCACTGCCAGCTCGGTCGATACGATCATTGTGCACACCGCAGACTGCATCGCCGCGGGACTGGGCCACAGGATGAGCCAGGACAAATCCTGCCGTACGCACCAGCTGCAGGTCCGATCATGGGATCTGCACAAAGCATATAAAAACCTGCCCCTAGCAGATGAAGTACTTGATGACTCCTTCCTGTGCGTGTACAACCCGGCGACGCAGGCAGCTGAGCTCTTCAAGCAAAGGGTGTTGCCCTTTGGATCTCGGCACTCGGTCCACAGCTTTTGCAGGGTGTCCTTAGGGATATGGAGGATTGCAGTAACAACACTGCTGATGCACCTGAGCGTCTATTTCGATGACTTCGTCGGTGCGGAGATCGAACCCTTGTCAAAGATCTATGAGATGTGCTTGGACATGCTTTTCAAAGTCCTTGGCTGGGGAACATCGAAAAACAAGGAGCATCCATTTGGGACGCTTGCTAAAGTCTTGGGCCTCGAGATCAACCTTCGTGACGCAAAACTCGGGTGGGTCTACCTTTCTAATACTCCGGAGCGGCAAAAAGAGGTGTTCGACTTCGTGAGCGAAATTCTCGATCAAGGCTTCCTAAAGAAGAAGGATGGCGAGAAACTTCGTGGTCGTCTTCAGTTTGCCGAATGCCAAATCTCGGGAAGAGGTGCCGGGATGGCATACAAGAAACTTACCGGCTTCATCAGGGATGGTGCAGGCTACCTTGATGACGAAGCTCGAAGTACACTTCTGACTTTGCGTGACAGAATCCTTCATGCTCCAAGCAGGTGTGTTTCACAGAACCTCTGCAACACGATGCATTTATACGTGGATGCCAGCTGTGAGAAGCGGAAGGTGGGGCTTGGTGGCGTGCTTGTCAACGAGACTGGAACTAAAATTGGGTATTTCAGCGAATGGGCTAGTGATGGCGTGGTGGCTCGAATGAACCCAGCCAGTGGAAATCCAATCTTTGAGTTTGAATGTCTCGCGATTCTTATGGGCCTCCGGACCTGGGCACCACTGATAAAGAACTGCAATCTGGTGATCTTCACAGACAACGATGCGGCTCTTGCGTGCATGATTCGTGGAATGTCGGACAATGACTATGGCGGGAAGATCGTAACCTGCGTCCATGAACTCAGTGACGAGATGGTGTGCAACGCGTGGTACGAGCGTGTCAACACCACTTCGAACATAGCAGATGGCCCATCACGAGGCGCCAGAGACGAATCGTGGGGACCAAGATTTGAGATAGACGTGGATGCCATAGTAGACACTGCCTTGAGCGCTTGGGGGTGAATCGAAGGCAGTGCAACTCTTGCACAGCAATCGTGGATTGCAGCATCCTCGGGGATGTAGTCTTGTATACCCAAGGGTATACATCTTCGCCTTCACTCTTTTGCACAAATCTCCCCAGCGTTCGCCTAGCGGCTGAAAACGAAAGAGCGGTGTTACTTCCATTCGACATGCAAGATGTGTGCTGACATGCTCTCACTAAGATGCATCGAGCAAACCCTTGACACATAACACGAAATAAGGCAACTATCCATCGTGATGGAGAGGACCTTATTTTGTGTTCATGTGCAGCAAAAATAAATGTTCTTTTATTTTTGCGGTTTGCCCGAATCTTGCCCGATTTACGAGTTCACTACAACAATCCACGAGTACAGACCATGTTCCAAATTTTTAGACTTCATGTCTGAACATGACTCACGTTCTTTGACATTCCATGTGTTTGAAGCAGTGCGTTGCCTGCATGCAAGGTCTGAGTGGCTCAGACACAGAGTTTCATTTTTGAATCCCCACCCACCCGCCCGGGGGTGAATCGAAGGCAGTGCAACTCTTGCACAGCAATCGTGGATTGCAGCATCCTCGGGGATGTAGTCTTGTATACCCAAGGGTATACATCTTCGCCTTCACTCTTTTGCACAAATCTCCCCAGCGTTCGCCTAGCGGCTGAAAACGAAAGAGCGGTGTTACTTCCATTCGACATGCAAGATGTGTGCTGACATGCTCTCACTAAGATGCATCGAGCAAACCCTTGACACATAACACGAAATAAGGAATTCTGGAGAGCGGGCGCTCGGGTCCAGAACTCCTGCTCATCAAGCTCTGCAGGGCGCACGCCAGGCTCAAAGACTCCTGTCGCAGGAAGATAGCCGGTTATGCGAAAACCATCCGCAAGGTCCCGATAGATGGCCTCATCCGGCCAACCCAAAGACCGTCCAATTTTCTCGAGTAGGGCCAGCCTCTTTCCTCTGAGGACGGCTGCGACATCCTTGTGCATCGAGGCAAAAAGTTTTGCATTTTCCGACTCAAGCTCTTTAGCCCAAGCTCGCCATTGCCGAAGCTTGAGCAACCTAGAACGGAGGACTGCTACAGGCCCACCCGTCAAAGTCTTAAAGAGTACACGCAGAAGGTCATCAGGCACGGCCCGAGCCAGGTCAAAAGGATGCTGCAGGGAAAGAGCATGATGCACATACTGCAACGGCTCACGGTACACACCAAAGGTAACGTACGACGGCCCTGGGAAGTCAGGAAGAGCGACTCCCCCCCTTTCAAGTGACTGTCGCAGGAAACGGCTGCCGGCCGGCACACCCAGCCAAGGATCTGACAGGCAACGCTTAGCATTGAGCGGCGGCGGCATCTCAGAAAAGACAGTGACAGTGTAGCTGTACTCGGGTATGAGCGGCGGAAAGCGGCGCCCGCGTGGCTGCACGTGGTTGGCTGCACGCGCGGAAGCATGGGCAGAAAGGGCATCGGGATCAGGGCCCAACCCAGACGCTGAAGCTGAGGCCGCAACCGCCGCCACGAACCGCTGGCAGAAAAGGAGCGGGTAGGCCGCCTCACGGGCGGTGGCAAACTCGCCGTTTTGGACTTGCCAGGGCTGATGCTCCGCACAACCTGGGCATGGCCCACTAAGGACCCCCAAACCTGGCACGTTGGTGAGAAGGCCCGTAGCCTTGCGCCTGTTGGAGCCATGCCTGCAAAGGTCAAAAGCAACGAAAGTGCAGCGCTGCATCAAAGAGGCAAAAGGCGGCAACATCCAAAGCCATGAATGCAGAGGGTTCTCCACTGAGACGCCGATCTGAGGAAAAGAAGCCAGAATAAATTCGAAGAAAGCAGCAGCGCCCTCGTAGATTGCATTGGCACTTTGGACACGAGCGTGGTCAGTAGGTGAGAGCCCTGGAAGACCCCAGACATGATGGAGGTCGCGCAGAGGGGGGGGCCCAGGTGACAAGTCGCGGGCGCGGCTGCATGTGCCGCACGGCACGGCAATATGCACATGAGCCACGGCTTGGGATGACAAGACGCCACGAAGGAACTCCCAGGAGGAGGGGCTGCGGAGATCCAGCTGCAGAACATGCACATGCGGCTTAAAGCGATTGCCATGATGGTCAACAGCCAACATCCGAAAACCAGCCTCCGCGGCCTGCTGTGACAGCAGGGCAGTACCGGCGCAAAGCTCGATGAACAAAGGCGGCGTGCCGACTGGAGTTGGGGAGACTAGGGGACCCGGCAAACCAGAGGGAGGCGACCTAGTCCTAGAACCCGAACCGGCCACAACAGCGGAAGTGGGAGCAGGAGAGCGCGAGCGTCGCGCATTCTCAGGTGCATCAGCGGTCTGGGGGAGCGGAGGGAGGGGGAAACCCAAGGCAACGAGTTTGGCACGATCGTCAGGCAGGAGCCGGTGGCAGGAGGCAGGAGTGAAACCCACCAAGACAAGCCTGCGCCCCGTCCAGGGCAGGACTTTATGCCACAGGCGATAGGCGTCGAAGGTAACGGCACCATGCTCCCAGGACAAAGGGCCACCTTGGACGGTGTGGCCAGCACAAGGGAGGCTTTCACTACCACAACCCTCGACCCAAAGCAGACCACCTTGGAAGACGGTCAAAGGCGCAACGGTGTTAGGCACAGGATGGTTACGCACATCCTTATGGAATGGAGCGTCGTCAGCATCCAGGAGAACAATGGCTGAGAAAATGGAATCTGGGCACAGCAGGCGCAGCCAGGCAGTCAAGGCAAAAACACAGAAAGGGAAAACCAGGGTATTCTTACGAAACCCAACCAGTGCACCCTGACCATAAGCCCCGGCAGCGAAAGCACGACCAGTCTCGGCCCGCGGCGAAGGCTCGAAGGGGAGCAAGTCCACCATCTCGACGATTTTTGAGCGGACCAGGGTGCGCTCTTGAAGCATGGAAAAAGCCAAAATCTCTGCAGGATGCACCGGTGCGGGGTATGCGTGCATCAAGGCCTCGAAACCAGACAAAATGCAATCTGTACATGACAAGGTCTCAGGCAAATTGAGGGCAGTCGGGGAGTGGCGGGACATGGAATCAGCGCCGGCATCGCAAACGCTGTCGGGAGTCTTTGCAGGAACAGGGGGCTCCCGTACAGGATCAGGCGACACAGGCTGCCCCGCCCCGGACTGTCAGGCCTCGGCACCCATGGCCGCCGGCTTGTTGGGGCAGTCCAGGGCAGACTGACAGCGCAGATATGAAGGCCTTTCCGGCAACGGCCTCGGGTGACCGTTTCACGGCACTTCTTGAGGTTATAATCGAAACATATGGGCTCGTTGTTATTGGTGCAGGAACGGCAGCCCTGGAGCCCGAAGGGCATTCGAACGCCCTTGCCAGCGCCCTTGCGACCTCCCTTCTGGCTTCTCCCACGACCTCGGCCTCTTGGGTAAGGGCCGCCACGATCAGCACTCTCGTTGGGGGGAGACGGCCCACTCTGGGCCTTGGGAAGGGGCTGCAACAGGTGAAGGACTTCCGAAGCTTGGGTGCACTCAACAAAGATCAGGTCAAGCGGCCGCTTGCCTGTGGCATTCAGTTGGATACCGGTCCTTGTTCGGTCCGCAAGGAGCATGAAAAGGCGGCGATCAGCAGCCTGCAGCTGCTGGAAAGTGGGTTGCAAGTGGCCCGCGAGCACAGGGTCCAAACGGGCACTTTGCAGGCGCTCGCTCCAGCGCGCATGCAGGTTATAGTCGAGGAGGTTTGCCATCTCAAAGGCCACCGCTCTGCGAGTCATGGCAAGAAGGAGTAGAAGCTCAGTCGAAGTATCGGCTATTGCCGGGGAGGACTTTTCGGTCCGCAACATGCCGGCCGCATCAACAGAAAGGACTTTCTCCCGCTTGGCGCTCAGCGTCTGCTCCTGCTCCTTACTCGTCAGGCGGTCCCACTCCACATAAAGAAGCTTGTTGTTCTCATACATTGAAACACACAGATCAAGCAATGAATCAGACGGTTCAGTGCGGTTTCTAATGTCAAGACCTGGAAGTCGCTTCACAATGGCGGAATGCCTCTCAGCCCTTTCCGGGACCGAGAGCTTTCGAGGTGCACTCTCCTCCGTTTGGCTCACCAAACCTTTCATCTCATGAGTCGTAACTGAGAAAGACTCGTGAAAGAGCCGTCGGAAAGAGGCCTTTTGCCCCAAGGTCGGCTCTTTTCCCAACGCAGTTGACAGGGCTAAGATGAGACTGCCATCGTCACCAGCGCCTGGGGTATAGGCACTGCAGAAAGCGACCTTCGCCAAGGTTGTGAGGCCGGCAGCGACAAGACTCTCCGTCTCGGCTTCATCAAGTCCACATGCTGCGCATCGGGCTCGGAACACTGGAGTGGATTCCGAATAGGCCGCCATGGTGCACACAACCGCACCTTCTTGAACCTTAAACGGCTCCACCTCAAGGCAGCAGTAAGCTTTCCCAGACATGTCTGCGGAACAGCAACGAGAACTGCACTCCAAGCCTCAAGAGGGCAGCTGAGAGCTGCACACTCACCTCTGAGCCCGCGTAGAGGTCGCGCACGTTTTCAGCTAAGAGCTGTCGCCCACTAAGAGTGAGCGTCACATTGCACACAGCAAAAAGATATGAAACTGTCGCTGGCATAACAGCATTAAAAGTAAGAGAAGAGAACTCATCATGGCATAACAGGCGGTGCATGTACCAGCTGAGAGCTGGGCGTTAAGCAAGTGCATGTCAGCTCAGAGCTGGCATAAATCCATGTAAGCAAGTAGCGCCACCAAGAGTGGGCTTTCAGGGGCATGGAGCACGTGCATGTCAGCTTAGAGCTGCCAAACCACCACTAAGAGTGGCGGTAAACCAACATATAGCACGATCGAGTGCATGTCAGCTCCGAGCTGGGCGTAAAGCACGTGCACAGCGGCTTAGAGCCTCCAGATTGCACCACTAAGAGTGGGCTTTCAAGGACATTGAGCACGTGCATGTCAGCTTAGAGCTGCCACTCCACCGCGAAGAATGGCAGAGAATGGACATAAAACACGTGCATGTCAGCTCAGAGCTGGCTTCGCCCCCCCCCACTAAGAGTGGGTTATAAAACTGATGCAATAAGCCCACAGGTCGAACTTCATTTGTACGACGCGCCGCGATCCATTCACATCTCTCTAGGCACAGCCGCTAGCGCACAAAACGTCTGAAACACTGTTTACACCTGGGGTGAAGCACTACAGGCCTTCCCTCGCAACTCTCATACGTTGCGTTGATCGGCCTTCCACAAATCAAAATTTCGCCGCCCTCCTCAGCGGCGACGTGGATGACCCTCGACACCAAGTTGCGTACATAAACCCCACTCACAGGCAGCAGCGACTCGTCGACTCTCCCGGTCCAGCGTCCCACGAGCTGGTTGGCACAATCTTCATCTAACCTGCGATCAGGGGTCTCGTCATCCTCGCTGCCCTCCGAAGACGACACAGCTCCGTCCTCGCCACAGTCATCTTCATCCTCGGGAAAAGGCTGTTCTTCGCCATCAGCCACCCTGAACTTGCGACCTCTCGGGGCATCAGGATCAAAATCGCCCTTCCGGACCCACAGGAGCATCCTCGACATCTCCCGGAGAGGTTGAGCCTGCGCGTCGGCCTCATACAGGATCTCGGTTCCTACACCTGCAGCTCTGGACACATGATAGCCCAAAATGCAACGGATATCTCTCGCAAGCCCAAACTGCGACGACCAAGCAAGAAGTGTGCGTTTGCAGGAATGCGTCCCATAACTGCCGTAGGAATCGCTGCCAAAATCGAGCAATGACTTCAGCCACACATTCGCCATATCACACGGCAAAGGCACCTTAGCCCAAGTCCCGTCTGACCTGGCCAGCGGAAGAAGCGGGCACTCTTGATCTGGGCCTAGACCTTCGGACTCCAAAAGCTCAAACCAAGTCACTCCCCATGGACGTTCGTCATCAAGCAACACAACAGGAGCAGCCATGGGCAGCATGCGAGTCTTGCGCTCAAGTGAGGTCGAACTCTTTGTGCGCGACGCAACAGCAGTGATGTACTTTGCCCCGCGCGGGAGCCTGAGCTCGGTCACCCTCTGGGCGTCCGAGAAGCGGCCCCTGCTGCCTATCATAAAGAGGAAGAAACCTGCAGCCACTCTGTCCGCCGTCGAGCGGCGTAACTGACCTGAAAGTATCGCCTCCAGCTTCCTGACTTGTGCACATGTGAAGGGGAGTCTTTGCTTCAATGGCCTCTTGAGTTGATAGGTCCTCGCAGAAAGGCCCGTGATTCGATGCGAACAAAGGACCTCATCGGCCGAAGGCATCCCCAGAACGAACTTCGCAAATGCGACGGAGGAAAGGAAACTGCGAAATGCGGTTGGAGCAGCCGTGGCGCGGTTTGTGTCCATGTACAGGTAAACGGCTGCCTCGACCAAAGGGAACGGTAGCATATTCCTTCCCCGCGTCCAAACCACAAACCGCAAGAGGTGTGAGGCCCTATTATTCACAGTGGCTGTCGCCTTTGCTGAAAGGGCATCTGCGACGCTATCGGAAAGCGTGCCAACACAGTGACCTGCGACCTTGCCTTGATACCAGTTGCGAGCGACACCAAAAGACATGGGATCACACGCAACAACGGAAATCCACTTGCTCACTGCAAGATGCCGCTCCTCGTTCTGCAATTGCAGCCAAGTTTTAGTTTCCAGCTTAGTCTTTACAAATTTGTAAGGGACATTCTGAACAAAACACGGCCGTTTAAGCTTCTGCCGAACCGGGGGAGTTTCGGCTGGCACGCTTGATGGAGTGGGACTCGCAAAAGTCGGCAACACTGTCGCCAAGGGCTTCAAGGGCTTGGGCGTGGGATCATAGGCCAAAAGACCCACATCCCAGGGCATTTTCCACAGCGAACGACCCGAAGCCGTGCAGGACAGGACATGCAAAGCTTGCCGGGTGTCCTGGCTCAAGCTCTCGTGACCTGACAAGGCATGAGACGGGGCAGGAACAGGCTGATCGTCACTCCCCACTTCACTATCATCAGAAACCGGCATCACAGGCGCACAGGCAGGGCGTGCAAAAGGCCGCGCAACAGGAAGCTCAAGTGTTGAACCAAGGCCTGCAGAAACTGGCTGATAGCAGCAAGGCGGGTGGAGCCCTGTTCAAGCTGATCAGCGTTATCCTGCACACGGGACTGCAAGGCGACCACGCGATCCTCAAGGCTGACCAAACGGTGTTGAACACTGCGCAGATGACGCCCGAGCAGGGCCACGTCACGGCTCAAGGATGCAAGGCGAACCTCAACAGGCACAGCCTGGGCAGCTGCGGCAGGAGGCTCAGAGGCCTCGAGATCCATCTGCCGGCCCTGCGGGCCGGCGTGCACGAGCCCTAGCGGCAAACTCGGTTTACTGGGGGACTGGGACCTCTAGCACAGCACTAGTACGGCCCCGAACCCGAACAAAAATTTTCGCCAGCTTGCTGCGAGCAAGAACCTTGACCCATTCAACATGCAATTCACATGTAAAAATTCATGCAACAAATCTCATGAGAGTGCATGCACGGGTCAGACGAAAATTCCCAGCAGAACAACATGTAGAACATGGACACAAAAATTCTCATCAAAGAATTTTTGAGTTCATCTGGCATAAAACGCTGTCACACAAGTGTGAAAGCTTGCATGCGGCTCGGAGGCCATGAGGCGGTGCAGTAGTCTGAGGAGCAAGGCTCCTACGCGCTGCCACCAGTAGGCCGAAAAGCGTGCTCCAAAATGGCAAACCACGTAGGCGTATAGGCGGCCGGAGTTTCTGAAAAGCAGAAGGCCTTGGTCTGATTGGCGTACCTTGACGCGCTTGTGGGCGGCTTTGAAATCGAGCGCTGCGCCCTGCGAGGCATTTGGGGGGTCCAGGGGCTTGAAGGTAGTGCGAACATCGGCAGATGTAGGCAGGCAAACCCGCTCGGGCAAGGTGCAGCGCGGATTCACATTGCACACTGAGCTATCGAGGACCATCCGTGGATCTTTGCCTTCGGCCTGGACCACGTTAAGCTTGCCTATGGCGATGCCTTTGGGCCACTGGGCGCGGGCCTCTTGTTCGCCCCCGGGGATTTCGATGACCCAACCCTGGGCCATTTCTTCCTCGATGAGGCGTTGAAGGAGTTCGGGCTGGGCCTCGGCGTTCTTCCAATTGCTGTCGAACTCCTTGAGGCAAGTGTCCAGTGGGTGCCGGGCGTGTTGGGCTTCGACCGCAGGCCACTGGTGGCTGCTGGCAATGGGCTCGAAGACGCCAGTGGGCACCCCTTGGGCTAGGATGTCTGGTAGGCCCTTATCTATATCTTGCGTAAGGCAGGCTAGGCGTGAGAGGAGCTTGAGGCGGAAAGGTTGGCCGTCTTCCACCGCGGCGGCGGATTGTTGTGGAAGATTTAGGCTGGCTGCTGCCATTTCCAGCAGCGACTGTTGCTCTTCTTCCGACAGGGGGTGCTCCGGCTTGCTTTGGGCAATGTGTGCAGCTATGCACTTGTAGCGGTCGGCCTGCAGGCACCAAGTTTGCATTTGGTCGATGAGCGATGAAAGGCTGGCATGAGGTTGGGCAGGTTTTGCGCAGTCGGCTGTGCTTTGGAGGCCGGCGCCGTCGCATGCGGGCGCACGCGGTCCAGGGCCCGCCATGTGCTCGGGCGTTGTCGGCTCTGTGGGCAAGGGCATGGCAGGCAAGGGAGGCGAGGTCGGCCACAGGTGTCGGAAGGCTGTAAGAATGTTGCAGGCTAGCTCGGCCGGGTATTCGGCGGTGCTGGAGCTGATGTAGCTGCCCGATTTGTCTCTCTTGTTGCGCAGAGAGGGGTGCTTGAAGGCATGGGTGCAGTCTGCACCCCTCTGATGTGAGGGCTGTTGGACGCGAATGCCCAGGATTTGGACCAAGTCACTCCATAAGCGCAGGCAGCGACGGAGGCGACGTGGGCCGCGGAGGCATGCAGCAGCTGTTGACATGAGGGCTCCATCCAGGCCATGCTTGAGGGGGGGTTTTCCAGGACCCAAGTGCCCCCCGAGGCTGCCACCGCTCGGCAGAGCTGGTGGCATCTTTCGTGTATGCGGCGGCTCTCCGCGGCGCGGCGGGCGAGCGTGGCTATCCGAAGGCAGACCGTTGAGGTGTTCGGGTGTGCGGCATGGCGGAGGCCCTCCAGGTGCGAGTTTGAGAATGGAGTAGTCGCGGCAGGGCGGGGCCGCCACCAGGAGGGCTATGCGCCCAGACCAGGCTAGGCGAAGTAGGCGTGTGAAGAAAGAATCCGAGAGTATGTCGTGGGCCTCGTTGATGGCGATATCTATGGGCTCCCAGTGCGGTATGCCCTGTTTTGAGGCTGCGACTGCAACTGGAGAGTGCCTACCCGCGAAGAGGTCCAGGAGCACGCGTGCAGGGGCTTCTGGGTTAGGCGGCGCTGCGGGCTGTGCGGTCGGTTCCGAAAACCGTGAGGGGCCTCTGGGAGGCTAGGCTAGGCTGTGGCGGGTCGGGGCCCGGGTTCGGCTGGGGGCCAAGGCATTGCTGCACAGGCGCCGGTCGCGCTTTGTCCGGGCCTGAGTCACCAGCTTGGCTGTGGCCTGGTGTCAGGTGCAGAGAAAGCAGTGGCGGGTTTTCCCTGTGGTGCACGTGGCAGGGCCGGGGGGCTGTAGCGGCGGTCGTTGCCCAGGCAGGCGTGCCCGTCCGGAACTGTCCCTGGGCGGACAGGATCCGGACTGTTTCAGGTGCGGGCATTGCCGTGTTCGGCGGCGGGGTGCTTTTGGGCGCATCCGCGCACTGCGCATATGTGGGCGAACTTGCATTCCGGCAGCTTGCACTGGCCGGTTTGGTAGCGGCGACAAATGGGCTGCCCTTTGTGCACGCCGACCCAGTTGGCCGGAAGATTCGTGATCTTGCCTTGGCCTTTGCCGCGGCCTTTCTTTGGCGGGCGCTCGTCGGAGCGGTCAGGCCTGGGCCCCTGGGGGCGGCACTTGAAGGGCTTTGCGTTTGGCAGGGCTGTTGTCGCCGCGGCCCGGGCCTTTAGGCGAGCCTTTGTCCGCGGCGGCCCTGGGCCGAAGCTGGAGTAGGCTGGAGACATCGTTGCGGATGGCCGTGAGCTCGTGCAGGGCGTCGTCCAGGGACCAGGACTGGGCCACTAGGTCGGAGTCGGAGATGGCTGCCCAGATTTTTCGGTCGGCGGCGATAAGTTCGCCAGTGGTGGGCGTTCTTAGGCCGAGCTGGGCGTCAGGCTGTTGTAGGCACAATTCTCGGACTTTCTTGTCCAGGGCCTTGAGATTCTGAAGGTGCGCCGCCCCGCAGAGGGCCCATGCGTTGCGAAAAACGGTCTGGATGCGCTCCAACTCCAACCAGGCGGCTGCGAGGCGCATGTGCTCCACGGGCACCTCGGGCGTCTCATCGAAGAAGGCAGGGGCTTCTGTGCGGATGGGCTTGGCAGTTTTGGCCTATCCAGCGGAGCTTTTCCCCCTGCTTCAGGCTGTGGTGCACAAGGCTGAGGAGGCGTATGCTGGGCATGGAGTCCTGGTCGAGGAGCTCCCCAGGATAATTGGCCTTGAATTTGTCTGTCATATCTTGCACTGCTTCTTGCGTGAGGCGTGGGGGCAGGTGCTCCATCCATTGGGAGGGCTGGGAGGGCAGAGTGGAGGCTGGGGTTTGCGCGCCAGCGGGCAGGGCCGAGGCGGCTTCAGGCGTCTGGGTCTTTTTGTGGCATTGGTCCAAGGCTTTGCGTAGGCGGGCTATCTCGACGGACGAGTCAAGGTCCCCCGTCGTGAGGCTTTGGGTGGCTTCGGGCAGTGAGTTTATGAAGGCGGATAGGCGGTCGACACTGGGGAAGGCCCAGGCAAAATCGGAGATGCTTTGGTAGCCCTGATCTGACAGGGCTGTGCACAGAAGGTCGTGCACACGGCACTCCTTGAGGAGTTCGTGAAAGGCCGTTGGGCAATCCATGGCTCGGCGAGAGGAGTGAGGAGGGGAGCGAGATCACGTTGAGGTTGGAGATGGCTGCGGCGGGTACCTGACAGGCAGGGGGGGTGCAGATCAGGCGGGGTCGGGACGGGGGTTGAGACTGTACGCAAGCACAACCGGCACCGATAGCGGTCTAGCAGGCGCTGTTGTTTAGCTGCGCTCAGAAGGCCAACTTTGAGGCTGTGGATTGTGAAGGCCTGGGCTTCTTCCTGGCAGGCGGTATTTGGGGCTTTAGGGCTGCTAAGCTGCATGCAGGCCCGTAAGGCAGGCAAGGCTTGAGAATAAGACATGGGCGACTTGAAGGCGAAGTCCGTCGTCGCCTTGGAGGCCCAGTCAGGCAAAATGGGCAGTAGGAAGTCTGGCTCGACGTCCGATCGCCAGAAGGCCTCTGTTGCGAGCCAGCATCTGTGCAGGCACAGGAGGTAGTTTAGGCACCAAGAACTGGCGGCGCAGCGGCCTGACAGGCCTGTCAGGGTCACAGCGAAAGGCTGACCTGTGCGGGATGTTTTTGTGGACCAGCATATCCCTCGGAGGGATTGGGCGGTAAGGCTAAGGCTGGATAGGCGGATCCTTTGCAGGTCCCCAAACCGCAGGCAGGCGTGATAGGCCAGCAGGAAGGCGCGCATATTCTTGTATACTTGAAAATTGTTGTGTTTTTGTGTATTGTTATATTATGCAAAAAAGTGCTCGCATCATGGGATTGAACTCGAACTCGATTCCGCAGCGGTCTGGTCTGACCTACTAGCTAGCTGTAGCTCATGACATATGTCACGGCCGCTCTGTGGCGGCGGTTAACAGCTTCGGGTATGGACACGCAAGGCAACTGCACAGGAACCGAAGTTCAACAAACTGTGCAGTACAGGGTCTCCAGCGCTCACAGTCGCTCAACCTAGCGTTCTCGCACTTACTAACTAGGGAGTGGACTGTGACAGCTCAGCTGAACAGTGAATGAATTGTCAAATCGAAGAAATGAAAAACACATCACGCCACTCTCAGCTCAACGATGATCCAAACTCATAGGGCAGACAGTTGAGGACCTCCATGGAGAGTCTGGTACTACAGTGACTCGTCGCATCGCGCAAGTTGCCTCATTGGCCGAAAACTCGCCATGGGCCGACCCACGAAATCCCAGAAGGGCTAGGTGGGAAACAGGAACGAACTGTCCACAACGAATGTCGTCACATATCCTTCCAGCTGTTGCAACCGAAAGTGAAAGCACCATGAGGTGGGCCATCAGAGCTGTCCCAGACGTCGCCTCAGCAAAAACGAATTCATCTGCATAGAGACAAACTGTAGCAGCACAATGTAGGGGCCGAAGACGGCGCCCTGTCCATAGGCCTGGTTGCCGTAAAGCCTGACAACCGCAAGTGGCCATACATTCATCCCAAAA